CAAGAGACCCAGGCGTGATTCCTCATCGTCATCTACCACAACATCAATTACAAAGTGAACATATATATATGTTCTTACATATATGTAGCATGTATCTCTGCAGAATAATGAATAATGGCCTGGTGGCTACTACCCTAAACTTGGCAAAAATATGATGACTTATGGAGTTGTATGTGCTCTGCGACTACCTGACTTTGTAGTAGTCGCCTAGGGTTAATTGCCAGATGCTACCGAGCTAACAAGCAAATACTAATTGCAAAAGTAGCCACAAAGAAGCAAAAATTTAATGATTATTTCTTATCTTGACAATACTTAATTTTAATGACAGTCAATCAATTATAATGCGGTGAATCAAATAGGAAACATAGTTGAAAAAATCACTTCATTGAATTTGTACAGAGACAATATGGACAATTATGAATGAATAAAGCACATATCCACTTATGAACATTGCCTCCAGTTGCCTCTAGGGTAGACTCCCTTCTTCTGTTGAACGCATGTTTTTCCAGTGCATGATGAATGTTACTCGTTCATCCTCTTAACCTAAGTTTGACTGCAGCACTCAGCTTCTCATGGTCATGGACAAACGCATTATTGGTAAAAGTGATGGCTAAAAGTGATGGATAAAATAACTATACTTCCGTTGGGAAATGTACATGAGCACAAAAAACAAAAAAAAAATGCGACAAGCAATTTGGCAAAAAAGTAAGCCCAAAATCCGCTTATTTATAAGCGGAACTAGCAGCTCTGTGAGTCGCCTCACAAAAGTACCTCCTTTCATAACAATGAACCAAGGAAGTTATTTATAAAAGGCTACAAAGTTCTGACTGGACGTTCTCTCAATCTGTTACCGCCAAAGGTAAAGCCAGCAGAGCTTGTTGCCGCGTTTGCGCAAAGTGTACGGGGACGAAGTGAAGAACCAAGCTGACAGACATAGACGCCATGGTGCTCTAGTTGGTCAGTTTCTGTGGCATAAATCCACAAAATTCAGAAAGGCGGACACAAATCACACCGTGGCGGTCATTTTGTTTTTAAGTAGAGGTTTTATTTTTATTTATATAAAAATTAAAATCTGCTTTCGATTAAAATTTTAAAAAAGAACACATATGAGATTTGAGCTCCAGAAAATGCATTGTACTATGCAATTTTTTTTTAACCAATCAAGTGGCTTTTGCGATTTTCCTGTGGTCTCATCATTCCGAGAGGTGTTGAACTACGACTTCTCCTATAGAAGAAGTCGTGCAGTGAACACAGTACACGCTAAGTAATCTGCCTTTTAAAATATTTAATGCACTATACCTAACTGTCAAGTAATTGAAATATCTGGTGTTCTAATACTAAATCTCAAGGGGGAACACTTGCAAGTGTGTCCCCCTCAGTCTGAACAAACGGCGGTCCGGACCCACCCCTGATTTACCCCAATGGTCAGTTTGTTTCTTCACTTTGTCCCTGTAAATTCTCTGCACCGTCTGTTTTCTCGTAAATCGAGTGTTCACTCACCATTAGTCTAAAAAATATTGCTCTTCTTGAGAAGTTTGTTGTCGCTCTGTTGATGCGAATACTAGTTGGTTTATGGAACAAAAAAATATATTTGTAACAACCTACATATCGGAATTAGCTTTCATCACTTGAAATCTCATAGAGCTTGCCAACATGTTGGAGCTTGCTAAGGAATGCACAAAGACACACGCTGGGCAATGTCTGCTCGGAAACATTTGCCATACTAAATTCGTCGGGCGTGGAGGAAAGCGTTCACTTTTCTTCACCGTATATAGCAACATTTTATTGTGCCCCTGTTAAGATGGTGGCCCGAGTCGCCATATTTTTATCATTCATGTATATGTAGCAAAACTTGCTGTATATGTAGCGAAACTTGCTAATTCGTAGTATGCGTGCAGATGGCATCTCCAAGATTCTGTTCACCACCCTGGAACCGTGGAACATGATACCCGTGGAAATACAACAGCGAATCACCATGGCACTGCACACGGCGGGACTGCCTGAGCTGCCACTCATACAATCCAACTGCGTGCCGCACCGAGAACTTGTTCCATATTATAGCTATTGAAAATAAAGGCGACACTATGTCGCATACCGAGTGTCTCGACTGCGGTTATGCAGCACAGTCAACGTCGTTATAACAAAATAGCTTCGAGTCTATAAGAAAGTTTGTCACATCTGATATTCGTCGTAACAGTAGACGTAACAGTAATCGGCTCTACCAAAACAGCAATATCAGTAGCACAAGATCTTTAACGTGCTTTTTATTTATTTGTTTATGCACAGAATACCTGCGTTGCCTCGAGGACATTATCGCACGGCAGACAATTTTAGTGCCAACCTCTTCCTTTATTTTTTTTTCAGTGGCAGTTTATAGTGTTCTTTCATGCTATGCGCATGCAATTAAAAGACATCATCGAGGAAATCACCAAGAAAATAATCAAACTTGCCAGGGAAAAAAAATTCGCAGCTTGCACAAGCATGCACCTAACAGCCTAGCTATAGCGTTCAACGAAGCCAGTGTACTAGTAGTACTGCATGCATACAGCTAGACTTGGTTAATCTCCGGTTTTGGTCCGTTTCCCAGACTTGTCAGCGATTTTGCCAGGAACACGTTAAGCGACTAGTTACACGATTTTCGGTCAAGTGACTATAGTTATGTGTTAATTGTTACTCAATTTTAAACAGGGTAAGAGACTCGGCTATTGTAGTATTTTCATTCCACAGTCAGATGATTGGGCGCACGTGCTCCAGCGAAGCAGAACAGGACACAGCGAGCGCAGACAGATTTATGGTGGCAAAAATTCCTGTTTGCTCAAAAAGCTCCGCTATTAGAACTAATGCTCGGCCATAGTGTTCTTTTGATGGGGGAAAAGGGTTGGGTTCCACGGCGTCGAACCAACCTCCTCCCTTTTCCACAACAGCAGCAAGCAGGAAGTTCTAATTATCGTTTAGGAATAAAAAAAATATTAAGTTACTGAGAAAGCTACCCTAACAGCCCTGTTCACTATGTTCTCCTTGAAGCTCTAAATATTTTACACATTCGTAAAACACAACTGAACACATGTAGGTGTTGATAAATACAAACGATTTGGGCGGGAAAAGCAGGAGTTAATTTGAAAGTTTCAACATAGGTGTTTTCGCTTATGACTCAATGTTCGACTCACTCGGCAATACTCTATGCAGTTGGCTATATTCACCAAAACTCGCCTCAGCCGGGAAAGCCCTTACCCGTAGGCTGCTCAGTCAGTTGACTCATGTACAAATTTTCTTACCTACGACTGTCAATCTTATATAGGCTGGCAAACTTGCGAGTCGACTCACTCAGACTTGGGTCGGGCCACAAGTCTCAGTAATATTTTGGCTAACTTTAGTCTGACTGAGCCTGGTTGAAGAAAGTTTCGTAAACGTGATTCCGGCCAGGAAAATTTTGGCAGGTCCAAGCAAGTCCAAAGCACCAGACATATGCGAGTGAGTGAGCAAGTTCCCCTTTTGTTTGCCGACCTACCGTCCCCTCTACTCATCTTCGGCACTACTAAGCGCCTTGCCTGGATGCACGTTTATACTCTCATCTGCTCACCCGTATTCTGAAGAAGCACGCATATACCATTTCAAAATTTATCGATCAGAGGCCTGAATTACGTTGAGCGTGCCTTGAAGTGCATGCTCATCAACTCTTTCACAGAAGTTTTCGATAAATATATCTGATGTTGTCATCGCTTTCAAGAAAAATGTCCTCACCGGTTTGCAACCACTTGTAAATTTTGTCCGTCCGTACTGTATCAGAAGGCACCAAGAAAAGCACCGATTAGGCGAGATATTAGTCTTAAAGAGCATTGACACCATGGTCAACAAAGCTAATTGTAGTCTAACGAACTCGTGAGTCGACTTATTCGGTCTCAGACCGAGATCCAGTTGCGAGCCCGAATGTGTACAGGTGAGTCTGGTTAAAGAAAATTTTTGCAAGTGCTTGTCCAAGCAAGTCCGGCTCAGGAAAATTTTGACGAGTCCGAATGAGCCCCAAGTGCAAAATATATTTCATGAACTAGTCTGATTGAGCTCCACATATTTTGACGACCTATGCTGTCAAAATTACACTAGGACACTAGTGTCAATACACATCGTCCTTCAATCACTTTACATTTACTGTTCGCAGGCAATGCCTCACAAATAGGCATGTTATGCAGATACAGTTTATCTTTCATCAGAGTACACTAGTCTACTAGCTCTCTATTCAGATGTGTGTAAAGCTCAAAATCGAAGGGACAAATAAAATAAATGCAGAAATCTTCAACACTCTTCGCACTGACTGGCATCTCCAAATATGTTTTGTGCGCAAATGTTTGGAAACTCTGAAAGAATCAAGAACCTATATGCTCATGTTATGTGTACATTACGAAAAACTTGAATTGCCAGGACAACTGACCGCATGATGTACACCACTGCTTCACAGAGGTTCAATTTATAGGAACGCCAAATGACACACTACTTTTCCATGACTGCACAGAATACCCGCATCCACTCTTTTGTAGCTTGATTGATATGTGGGGTTTAACGTCCCAAAACCACTATATGATTATGAGAGACGCCGTAGTGGAGGGCTCCGGAAATTTCGACCACCTGGGGTTCTTTAACGTGCACCCAAATCTGAGCACACGGGCCTACACCATTTCCGCCTCCATCGGAAATGCAGCCGCCGCAGCCGGGATTCGAACCCGCGACCTGCGGGTCAGCAGCCGAGTACCTTAGCCACTAGACCACCGCGGCGGGGCACTCTTTTGTAGCTTGGCATGCTGGTCACATTCATAGCAAAACACTGCCCTGCCGATGAACACTACCACTCTAGAAACGCACTAAAGTGCTAAAGCAAGTAGAAGCTGCCACACCTTTAATTTTTTTATTCATCTACTCATAGAATGTAACATGCTTACGAGGCAAGGCAAAAATAAACAGGCTATGCCTGTTTCTTCCTTGACGCACGACAATGAAAAAGCAACACGTATTATGACAAAATAATTTATTTCGATATACAAGAGTATAAAAAGTCACCTCAGGTTTTGACATCTCTAAATAAACATCAACAAGTAGGGTCAATAAAACACATCAAAACAGCAGCCTGAGCGCCTCATAAAAACACACGTCAGTTAAAGCAACTCACACACACATACGTTTCCTCGAAACACCAAGTCCTACAGCAAAAGCTACCAGCACATAAAGCCCTGTGCTGTAAAATAATGGAGGACTATCACAGCCATCGCACCGACTTAGCATAAAAAAAATTAACAAGGTGCAGCTTGAAAAACTTTGAAGTGACATAACATTTGACACACTCTTGTTAAACATTTGCTGGTGCAGTGCAGATTTTAGTGAGCAAAACCAAGCACACGCGTGCAAGAGATTCATCAAAACTCAGCTTGGCAGTTTAGGAACTAAGATGGATAAAACATACCGCAAAACCTTCCATTTGCAACCTGCAAATGAGATAAGATAAAAAAAATTCTGGCGTTACTAGAAGTTACTCGGCATTACCTGCACGAAGTCAAAGCTAAGCTCAATGAAAACTTGCTCTTATGCATAACCAAAAAACACTGACCCTGTAGAAAATCATATTAACACTTCACACTTGGCTCGAGGGGTGCGAATACTGTGCCTTTGAGCTCAAGCCCAATAAACCGTAAGGCACAACAGATTCTAGTAGCCTATGCTCAAGTGGTCTTGTGATGGAGATTAGAAGGAGACTGATACGTTGCTAAATTTGTTCGGCTGGCTCATCATCTTTTTTCATTGGTTATTTGAAGAGTACACAGTGGTATATGCCGAGTAGGGTTGGCACAGTACCATATTTCACAGCGCTGTAACACACAATAGGATGGCAGACATCAGTGATATGGCAGAAAGAAGACACGTCACACATAAAATGAGCCAATGTACGGTAGTACTATCGATAAGCGCAGCCAAAGTGAAAAAGGTGACATTACGGCCTTTGTAACAGCTTTCGTCAAGGCATGCGGATGGCTAAGGAAATGAATGCGGGCCCACCTTGTTAGGCAATAAAAATGTGAACGCCGTAGAAAATACTTTGATTGCATCAGATCAAGACAATAACAATAACAAGCACTTTGATCCATGAAAAAAAAAAGAAAAAGCGAGACGAGACATGGTTGCGTGCACGGCACTTGTACACACCGGTGAGTAGTGGGGCCTAGTGTAACAATGATGTTACACAGAAAAGAGATTTCTTATAGCAGTTACGGTAAATAACACGAAGCATTCCATGAACTGCTTTTGGATGCCATGCTTTTTTTTACATGCTTGTCATAGCTAAGAAAGGCTGCGTTCTTGAAATAGAATGCACTGTTTAACACAGGAAGAGTGTTTTCTGAATGATTTGTGCAGTTGTGGCATGCCAAGAGATTCGTGCAATCTAAAAAATTTGAAGCTCCATGACGATATCTTTGTTTGACACTAGCCACTGCCGCACACCCTGCCCCTCCATCCCCCAAATTACAACATACACTAAATTTATGAGTAGCTATGCTGTGCTATTAAGTCCTAACGCGTTCCGAGTTTTGAGTTTTCAAGTCACGAGTGTTGGCAAAAGTTACCAAGGTAGGAATGAACAATTCACCTGGAAAATGATAGTACCACTATGTTTTTTATGGTATAATAAACTTACACTGAAGATACGTCAATGCAACAACAAAAAGCAGCGATAAAAGAACCAACAGTTTTCATGATCAAAGCTGCCCTGTACTCATGCGTTGGTCTCACAAGACGTTTCGGGAAAAAGGGCTGAGCGTCCCGCCACTTCAGACATGCGTCGATGCTACGCTGCAAACTTGACACCAAAAGTGCAGCAAACATTACTATATATGTCTATATAATTATATATCTCATAATATCATGACTAAAATCTCACCATGTGTGGTCCATTCTTTAAGAGCAACGTAAAAGTTACCTGCGGGTTTGGCAGAGTGTTTAGCAACAGGAACACGATACTAATGGCACTGTATCACTCAACAAATCTGAGTGAATCACAAGACTAAAGTCTTGGAATGAAAACGCGAACAAAGAACCTCGCAGGATTAGGTGGGTTCTGCAGCGTGGCTAAGCTAAACCTTGTTGGTCGGTGACATCACGAAGTCGGTCAGGTCCACGGACACGGCACGTTTTAGCGGCGACTGATTCTTCTTGGCCTTCCGAAGCCTCCGTTCCAGCGTTTTGCTGGTAAATTCTGCCTCGGAGAGTTTCTTCTGCGTTTGCTAGGGAAATGAAAGGAAGTACGATCAAAACTATGTGAAGAAGATTAATCGCACAGGGCATGTATAAACACCATACACTAACATTAGCCTGGTTTGCCATACTCTATGTTCCGGTGAGTTTTTCTATGCCAATAGCAAAAAATAAGTAATGTGGACCTAATGAGAGAGCAAGGGATTTCAGTGTGGCACTAACATTGACTGTACTGGTGAACTTAATCTGATTTATCATAAGGCATCTTCTTTTCCTTCTCAGTTTATAGAGTGACCTCACGAGAACCTAAATACAGCATTGTGACTTGTATTCGGTTTTCAACTTTTGATGACTTGCGACTACTGTGCAGCCCCCCCCCCCCCCCTCCACATGCCTATGACCAAGTACCAATTTGCATTTCTTTATGTGCATTATCACCGCTAAAGAGCGGATAAATACACAGCCACAGCAAATATGTACTGCCTAAAATGACCACCATGACGCCCATTCTTTTTCCCAATGCTCAGAAATGATTGGCGTTCTCGAACGACCGCCGTCCAATGACAAGCAATGACAGAACTACTGTGGAGTCCGGGATACCCAGCGACTGACACAGCGACATGATCGGCTGTGCGCTCTATATGTGTACCGCGATTCGCTCCTTAGCGAGAACTGGCACGGCTTTTTTTAGACGTGGTACGGTCGCAGGCAACCGGTCGTCTACTAGGTAGTTGTGTGCAGCGCTTCGCCTATTCGCGCACACCGTACCGAGCCGCTTGTGCCTACTCCGCTTGAGAGAGTGCACAAATGTGGCCAGAAGCCCATTGCATCAACGCGACCATGCGAGCTTCCTGCAAGCGATGCTCCAGCGGTCCTGGAAGCAGGCGGAAGCACGCTTGGGCTGTCGCCTCATGAAACATGCTACACTTGCTGTCTCGGTGCCTGTGATCCACAACGCGCAAGTCCTCAACAGCGAGCTGCTTTCATTTCTGCAAAGTGATGCACGCTGAAAGCAGTCCTGCACAACAATTGAGACGGTAGCGATCGGGGCCTCAATGGTCTCGCATAGTCGCCGGTTATTAAAAGCGTGCATTAGGAGTCGCCACAATTATGCGGAAGTCAGAATAATTGATTGGTTTATTCCGTGCGTTTTCAGCAGTGCAAGTGTACAGTGTGGCGACCATCACGCAACATCCCCTAGCGATGCCTGTTGTCAACAATACTTTTGGTTCCAAAACAACCGTCTTGTGATGCAGCAATGGCACAAGTTAGACAAAAAAGACCCATCTGGAGCAGTATGGCACAGGTTTCCCACCACTGCGAGAACGACCCGAAGATAACGCAGCAAGAGACTTACCTCGAGTTGCGAGTTCAGCAGTACTTTTTCTGTTTTCAACGATGACAGCTTCTGAGCAATGGAGTTGATCTCCCGGTCTTTCTGGCGGCGCAGCTGCTCGAGGTGCTCTCTGCGCCGAGACTCCTCTTCCAGTTGTTTTTGTTGCTCGGCTCTCTCCTGCTCCAACTGCTCTCGCTTCTCCCACTCCTCAGCCAAGATCCTGCCAAAATGCCAAAAAGGTGGCTCAACGCTTAACCATCAACTGTGTCAAGAACTTGAACCTGGTTTTGCTACACAAGTGGTACATGTGAAACTTATTACAAACACCCTGGCTTTCAAATAACTGATCAGCACCGACTTAACACCTGGACAGGTTACTGTATTTACTCGCGAAATTTGCGCACTTTCTTTTTCGCGATTTTGGGGCTGCGAGAAAGGGGGAAGAACTATGCAGGGATTTCGGGAACGCATACAAAATAGCTTTCAATAGTACTAATGCACATGATGTCATGGACGGGTTTTCTGAGCTGGGTATTTAAAGATGACAGCCACCAAAACTTTCTATCTCATTAGAGAACGTCAGTGCAGAGCAAGACAGAGCGTCGTTCCCCCCTCCCGTTCTTTTGCGCCCTGCCCGCTCTCTTCTGTTGGCCAGCCGCGCCAAGGAGGAACACAAAAATTGCAGGGGACAACAGCACTAATCTGAGGTCAGAGTTTCTTGATCCGCACGGTCAAGGAAGAGTTCACACAGCACCTTAACTGGCTAGTACTAGAAGATGACGAACACAGTGACATCAATGCAAGTTATGTATATACATTGAAAAAAATTAAAATAAATTGAAGCATGAATGAAGTGTACTTGATCGTTTAACAGGATCAGCATGTACTTTAACCAGTCAGATCCGGTCATACACGGTCTAGTCTGAATCGCTGATTGAGAGGTCCAATTGAGAATCATCATCACGACCGCTGTCACCGCCCTCCCAAGTGCATTGCCCTCAGTTCTGTTCAGCGCATTCGAATGTCCAATTTTCTTGGCAATGCTGGGAGAAACTAGGTCCTACAACATGGCAATACTAGAGGACCTAAGCGTTCACACATAATTCAAAAGGCCTTCTTCGGCGGCAGAAAACTTGTATCAGCAAGCGCGCACTCTTCTGCTTTTTCCCGTACTGATCGCATCAATCATCACACGAAGAACTGCACGCTGAGGTGCTTGGCGGTGACATGATTCCCATTTTCTTCAGCAAACTTCACAAAAGCAAGCTTGAATTTTGTCGTCCGCACCCGCCACTGACGTCGTCCACGTGACCCTCCTGAAACCATACATCTCCGCATATGATCCTACTCTCCTTTAGGCGCCGAGACGGCACTGCCAGCGGCGGGGGGTTATATGTTACATGACATCGGCGACGAAAGAGCATCATAGACGACAAAGACGATGAAAGCGACCGTGCTCGTGTTGATGTTGCTGTTGCACCTCCATCTTGGCTACAGCTGCCTCTGACTATCCCTGTATATTTTGTAAATATATTTATTTCATTCATTCTCTCACCCCCGTGACATTTGGTGGTGGTGCAGGGTACAACACGATATAACGGAGCTCCGCAGTGGCCGACGCTTGGATTTTTCCACCATGGCAAATCAAGAACCCGCTCTCGCCGAGGCGACTACAACGACAACTGTTGGCTTTTCGCAGCTAAAAGATCCTGGCACGTTCTGTGGCACGGCTGATGTCGACATTGAAGAATGGTTGCCGTTATACGAACGTACAAGTAAGAATTGCCACTGGGATGAAATTCTTATGTTAGCCAATATCCTGTTCTACTTCAAAGGAACAGCAGAAGTGTAGTTTGAGAACCACGAAGATGGAATTGGAAGCTGGGATGCGTGCAAAGAAAAGATGCACGCCCTTTTTGGCAAGTCCATGGGTAGAAAAGCAGTGGCCAAGAAGGAGCTGGCATCTCGTGCGCAAACGTCATCAGAGTCCTACGTGACTTACATACAGGATATATGCTTGCCCTTTGCCGAAAAGCAGACAATGGCATGGAAGAAACCGAAAAAGTAGCACACATATTTAAAGGCATTACAGATGATGCGTTCAACCTTCTCATATGCAAGGACTGCAACACGGTCCATGCCATCATCAAGGAGTGCCAGCGTTTTGAGGCCGCAAAAAGTCGACGTATCACCCATAATTTCACTCGACTATTAAACACAGCAGCAACCTGGTCGTGTGAAGACGGGCCTGCACTACAGACGCCGTTAACTGCAGAGCACGTGACGGTCATCAGACGTGAACTTGAAGCTCTGTCAACTGCGTCCACGTGCTCCCATGCCTGTGACTCAAGCCCTCAGATGGTGCCACTGGTACATGCCATTGTGCGACAAGAGCTTTTCAATGCTGGACTAGCCTCCGAGTGCACTACAGCTCCATCTCAGCTGATCGACCGTCGTCGACCCCCTGTTTCGTATGCCCAAAGCCAAAACCTTCCGGTGCGCCCTCGCAATCCAGCTGAGTGGAGAACTGCTGACGATCGCCCGATTTGTTTCAACTGCCACCGTATCGGACACGTGGCCCGCCATTTTAACACTCGGTGGTATTGGCATCAAGCATCCTATTGGTACACCCATTGCCCAGAGAGGAATCATGGACACTTTTTCCTATTTGGCGCGCCAGGGGACGCCGGCTGTGGCCCAAAGAACAAGTCAGAGCCGAGAGTTGATAAACAAAACAAAATTATATTCTCAGTTATGGCAGATCAAAACGATACACAAGTATGCACACTCGACAATAGTTGAATACAATATGTCACCAATCAAACAATGTACTACACAGTACAATCAGCCACACTCGAAACAATAGACACAGACAACAATACGGACTACAATGCAGTCGCATGCATCGAACAACCAAGACACTTAAAGACTAAAGAGTTAGGAAACTTATTCAGTCCAAAGTCCTTGGAACAAAAGTCTGGATGATACTCTTCCGAGAATCACTCACTCAAAGTCCAGCGTTGTTGTCGTTCCGCTGCCCCCGAAGTTTCTCTTCCAGGAAACCTCGCGTCTTCAATTGGCCGCTCTCCAAGCTTCAAACTTCTTCCCCGAAAACACGTCGGCTTCACACACGCAGCTGTTGCCACGCGTCTTTGCTCGATAGCGGTAGACACACACTCTTGCCTGTAGCTCGAGTCTTCACCCCTCAGGTGGAAATCCTCTTCTTCTCCCCCTTTGTCACGGAAGACAAAAGGCTTCGCCCACAAGGCGGAACACCCTACACACTCTGGCGCATACTTTCTTCTTCTCCTGCTTTGTCACTAAGGACAAAACCTTCACCGACAGACGCGGCGGGATACCCTACGCACTCTGTCGCTAACTTCCTTCTTCTCCTGATCTCCCATCTCCGCTGCTTGGCTAAATACCTTCCGCACGCGATTCCAGAAAATTGTCATCATTTCGTCGGCGCGATGCGCAGCGAAGGCTGGGGGAAAGCGCGAGACGGTTCGACGGCCGTCTGCGACGAATGACGCAACCCGGCATCACCACGCCCCTTTCCATCGAGAAATTTCCAGGGCTTGCTCGGCCGCTGATGTGGGGTGAGGAGGTTCGTCGGCGAACCTATGCTTCCGAGAGGGGAGAGGGAGGCGCACCCGGGGAGTCTTTGGATGCTCGTTTTCTTTTTCTTATCGTTGACCTCTCAGCGCTTCGTCGCGAGAATTTGGCGGCGCACCCTTTTTTGAGAGCTCGTTTTGTGACACTGCCCCCCCACTTTAAGAATATTATCTCATAATATTCAAAACCACACAAACGAGCGCGAACAGTCCCCACACTCTCAAAGACTGTAACATAGTTCGTCGCTCATGAGACGTCACATTCACAATAGATCACTCAATACAATTGCACATTGTAATTCAATCTCACAACACATGAAATATAACCACAGGTACATGAGTACAAACCTCCACCACATATTCCAAACAATACAAATGTACAAAGTTCTCTCATTACAACAATTGTACAATACTATACATCACATCACCGTAACAAACATTTTGACTCGCTCGACATACAGTTGTTACACAGAATAACACCCACATTAACACAACATATTGCACTCCGTACGGCCAAACACATTCCGATTCGACCTCAGCACCTATCTCGTGTATTTCGAGCTGCGCTTGCATCCTTTCTTGCGGTGCTCGCTCGATCTCTTCTTGTTTTTCCTCGTTCTTTTTCGGCGAGTCCTTTCCAACGACGGTATCTGAGGTGGCGTCCCAGCCATCGTTGTCACTTCCGACACTGTTAACGGGTGATAACGTTCAACCGATCCTGTTCGGTCATTCACCCGCTTGTTCATGTCACGACATTGTGCCTGACTGGCCAACTCCGTCATCTTTACATTGTCGGTCGGTTGAGGTCGTGCCGACGTAAGTCCAGCTGCCCAGCACGTGAACTCATTCAACACGATCATGTTCTCATTCGCTGTCTCTTGCGCCCAGGCTTCACCTTGGGCTCGAGTGAAATCCTTCACAGGATTGTTCTCCGCTGAATCTCGCGGTCCCTGTGTCAGCGGGGGCTCCATCTTCGGGTCTTCCCCCAAACATTCTGGATCATTCAGCCCTCGCGCCCCGTCGATGTTTCCGATGACGAGGTCGTACAGGGGGGTCGTCATGCATAGAGCGGTAACCTTCCCGCTGAAGTACGGCGTTTCAACCTCAATCTCTCCTTCGGGAAGCATCCGAACCGTACTGTCAATTAGGCACACTGGTTTCGTTTTGCCTGTTAACTCACTTTCCCGTACCCAATTTCTTCGCACGATAACAGTGGAGCTGCCGGTATCTCTTAACACCGTAACCTTCTTGCCCGCAACTTTTCCAGGCAGCGTTGGCATTCCCTTCGTAACACCGGTCGGCTGTTTTGTCATTACAGCACCCAAAATAGGAAGTTTCTCCCCATTTTTCAACTCTACAAATCCGTCGGTGACGGCTTCACCATCGGATTTCGGTGCTGCTAGCACACAGGATACCTGGCGAGTTTGACTCGCTCCGTTACGACATGCGTCTGCTTTGTGCCCAGCCTGACCACACTTGAAACATTTTAATACCGTAGGGCTCGTAAAGATCGTTCGACAGTTGTTCGTGCGATGACCCACTCGGTTACACAGAAAACATCGCGGAACACTCTCCGGTGCACGCTTATTTTGTTGGGGTACCGAAT